CAAGGCCACGATTAAATGCTTCAGTAGAGAGATTTACCCTCACTGACCAATCACACACACACACTCTCAAACTCACACTCTTATACACACACACTCCCGCTCTAACAAACACACACACTAACACAATTACACGCTTTCACACACGAACACAAACACACACACACACATTTTATGTATTTTTAAAAGTAAAAGCATTAACCTGAAAACGTTATTTCTGAATGTTCTCTGAACATTTAAAACGTCCAGTGTAAGAAAAATAAAATAAAATGTGTTTTTTCAGTATTAAAATGATTGATAAAATACCCAGGGGAGACAAACCCCGAGTTCATGTGGAGCAGCATTTACTGTAACCCGACCCGAGACACTGAAAACACCGGATCATACGATGCTCGCGTGTAAGACAACAGTGCCACGCTTCACTCTGAAACACGCAGCGCATATATTTATTGAGTTCGATCACAGCCTTTGGGGATTTGATCATCTCTGGTAGTCATATCATGATTTCGGTTTTATTTGGATTAATAGTGCAGTCCGTGACCAGAGGGCCTTTATACACATGTTTGATCTGCAGAACACCCTTAAAGGGACAGTTCACCTTAAAATTAAAATTCTGTCAAATTCTGAACCTAACAGTTGATGTGCCCTATAGTATTTTTTTTCTCCATACTGTGGAAGTCAATGGGGTCCATTAACTGTGTGGATACTGGCATTCTTCAGAATATCTTCTTTTGTGTTCAACAGAAGAAAGAAATTCATGCAGGTTTGAAACAACATAAGGGTGAGTAAATGACAGAATTTCATTCTTGGGTGAACTATCCCTTTAAGGCCCGTTCACACGATAAAGATATAGTTCTAAAAATCGTCCTAAATATAAAATAATAGCAGAGTTCACAGCGCAGCAGCTGTAACGATAACAGGGGGAAAATATCATTGCAATCACTTTCAGAATGATTTATTTTTCCAGCTGATGAATGATAAAAACATTGACAGCCAATCAGAGTCCTCCCTGCTTTGAAGAGCTTGAGCATTTAAAGAGACAGACGACAAAACTGCAGCGTGAGCTTATTATAAACAGAATGAAATTGCGCATTGGTGTGAATGTTAATATAGTTATCATTAACAGTATCTTTATAGTTATCGTTCTTGGTGTGAACGGGCCTTTATAGTTTTGACACAGACACAAACACATACACAAATTTTGAGAAATTGTTTAATTTTTTACATTTGTACTCACACACTCACTCACTCACTCACTCACTCACTCACTCACTCACTCACTCACTCACTCACTCACTCACTCACTCACTCACTCTCTCTCTCTCTCTCACACACACACACACACACACTCACTCACTCACTCACTCACTCACTCACTCACTCACTCACTCACTCACACACACACACACACACACACACACACACACACACACACACACACACACACACACACACACACACACACACACACACACACACACACACACACTCTCACTCTCACACTCACTCTCACACACACACACACACACACTGATGAGTGTCAGCTGAAGCTGCATTTGTAAATTGTGTCTTTTGATTAGTTGTTGCCTGCGGTGTTGTGTGTGTGTGTGTGTGTCGGCAGTGTTTGGAGGGCACAGCCTGCGGGCGTAGAATCCGTCACCGCTGAACACGCACAAACACACACACACACACAACACACACACACACACACACACACACACACACACACACACACACACACACACTGTCCTTGACACATCAGATCTGCCCTCGTTTGTCCGCAACTATTTTAGTGCGCAGATGAGTTGAGATCCCGACAACGCTCACCTGCCCGTCTCTCTCTCCATCGTTCCTTCTGTCGTTCATTCTCTCTCTCTCTCTCTCTCCCTCTCTCTCTCTCTCTCTCTCTCTCTCTCTCTCTCTCTCCCAGAGTCGCTCGCGGGCAAGAAGATCCAGAACAAGCCCGTCTGAAGCAGAAAGCAAAGGAGGTGAGGCTTCCATCATTACCACTGACATTTCAAGGCTCCGGCAGATTAATTTTTTATGCTGTGCTACATATGTAATGCCATTTAAAGTCTGACTCTGGGAGAAAAAAGAAGAAAGTTTGAGGAATTATTTTCATTGATTGATGTCCTGCGAAAAAATGAGCGTTTTCCTCTTTTCTCCAGCTCTGAGCTGATATTTAGGAGAATGTGCTGTGCTTTTATCCGGGGCGGAATGGGAGATCTGATTGGAGATGAAGTCAGAGTTTTCCCCGTTTGACGGATAATTTGCCAAGGCCATTAGCATCATAAAGGCGTTCTCGTCTTGCTCTCGCAGAAAGGGGGACAATTAGAAACTGTTACCGCGATATGAGGCACAAATTGCTTGCTTTTGTTTCTCCCGCATTGATTTTCATTTTTTATGCTGCCAATTAAAGAATAGTGCTGTTCTTGATTCCCAGCCGACTAAATGAGCCACTGAACACATGAGCGTCCTGCACACAGCGGACGCGATGCGGAGCGGCACTCGTGTCAGTGACATTCTCTCAGCTGTCCGTATCCATCTATCCATCTATCCATCTACCCATCTCTCCATCTACCCATCTACCCATCTATCCATCTATCCATCTATCCATCTACCCATCTCTCCATCTACCCATCTACCCATCTATCCATCTATCCATCTATCCATCTCTCCATCTACCCCATCTACCCATCTACATCTATCCATCTATCCATCTCATCCATCTACCCATCTACCCATCTACCCATCACCCATCTACCCATCTACCCATCTCTCCATCTACCCATCCACCCATCTATCCATCTATCCATCTATCCATCTACCCATCTCTCCATCTACCCATCTACCCATCACCCATCTACCCATCTACCCATCTATCCATCTATCCATCTATCCATCTACCCATGTACCCATCTACCCATCTACCCATCTACCCATCTATCCATCTACCCATCTACCCATCTCTCCATCTATCCATCTACCCATCTATCCATCTACCCATCTACCCATCTATCCATCTACCCATCTACCCATCTCTCCATCTACCCATCTACCCATCTACCCATCTATCCATCTACCCATCTACCCATCTACCCATCTATCCATCTACCCATCTCTCCCATCCATCCATCCATCCATCCATCCATCCATCCATCCATCCATCCATCCATCCATCCATCCATCCATCCATCCATCCATCCATCCATCCATCCATCCATCCATCCATCCATCCATCCATCCATCCATCCATCCATCCATCCATCCATCCATCCATCCATCCATCCATCCATCCATCCATCCATCCATCCATCCATCCATCCATCCATCCATCCATCCATCCATCCATCCATCCATCCATCCATCCGATTATTCTGTCTATCTCCATCCATCCATCTTTTCCATCCATCTATCTATCTGATCGTTCTGTCCATCCATCCTGCATTCTGTTCACCATGAGCTGAAATGGAATTTAAGTTGTAAGCATTCTCAAATTCAGTTCTGATTGGTGCGCAACCCCGCTGATGAGCTGCAATGAAAAAAAATCATTAATCGTCATCAATAGTTTTCTGTTTCTGTTCAACAACAGATTTGTTGTGCTGACAATCATAACTGATTTATGTGTACTGATTTTAATGTTTTCTGTAGAAAAGCACCATCTGATCTGTAGATATGGCTCAGTATCTGTCACTATATCGGTGTGTAATGTCGCCTGTTCTCCAGGTGAAAGTGCTGCATCTGAACTGTACTGCCTAGTTCTGTGTGAAGGTTTGCTAACTAATTATCATCTAGCGCTGCTGGATTTCCTGACTGTCCATCGTTTCTTCAAGTTTCCTCTCGCTCCCCGCTCCTCTGCTCCACATTAGCGAGGTAACCCTTAAGAGTGGATTGTAGTCTTCCCATCAGCCTGTGCTGTATGTAAATGAGGTGATTTGTAATAGGCTGCGCCCGAGGCCGTGTGATCAAAGTGGATCTCCGCCCTGTTAAGTGGCAGGCAGCTCATCATCTCAACACTGCAGATTAACTTTACAACTCACAGAACGACTACTACAGCACACGCACACACACACTCGCACACACACACTCGCACACACACTCGCACACACACACACACACACACACACACACACACACACACACACACACACACACACACACACACACACACACACACTGACAGACAGACAGACACACACACACACGCACACACACTCGTACACACACACACACACACACACACACACACTCGCACACACGCACGCACACACACACACGCACACACACACAGAGAGACTCACACACAGAGAGACTCACACACACATGCACGCACACACTCACACTCGCACACACACACACACACACACACAAACACACAGACACACACAAGTACGCACACATACACACACACACACACACACACACACACACTCACTCACATGCGCACACACACACAGACACACACAGACAGACACACACACACACACACACACACACACACACACACTCACTCACATGCTCACACACAACACACACAACACACACTCGCTCTCTGCATGTGTCGTCAAAACCCCCAATTTGTTCCAATCAGAATTTTAAAAAGGCTGAAATCTCTCTTTTATTTGCTATTCCACCAGAAACTGTTTCTTTCTCTCTCTCTCTCTCTCTCTCTCTCTCTCTCTCTCTCTCTCTCCTCTCTCTCTCTCTCTCTCTCTCTCTCTCTCTCTCTCTCTCTCTCTGGGTGTAATGGTCGTGTTTCTCAGTGCGGTTCTTCCTCTGGTCTTCATCTGATTGGCTGCGGGCGACAGAGCTGCTGTTTGCGTGTGTCGTGGAGGTTTCGCACATCTGCCCAAATTTCCATCAGGATAATGAGGTTGATCCGTACTGCCTTCACTCTCTGTGACGGGTAGAACGGCGAGAGAGAGGTTTATTACTCATAACCACACAGAACACACACACACACACACACACACACAGTACATTGCACTTCTGTGGTGTGTGTGTGTGTGTGTGTAGACTCTTTCCGCATCTTTTGAGAGTGTCACTTCTAGTCGTTCCCGTAACACCAAATAAATTTTTTAAAGGATTTAATTTCTTGACTCTTGATAAGATTTGCGCACCAAATTTTATTACGTCTTCTTTTATTCACACTCCTTTTGTGTTCCGTAGAAATGTTTTACAGGTTTGAAATTATGTGAGTGAGTAATTGATGAAGCAATTTTCATTTTTGGCGAACTATAACTATTCCTTGAACAATATAAAGCCATGGGCAACACAACAAAATATAATTTAATATCTCAGTAATTTCTCCTAGACCGACTCCACGGATCATCCATCCATCCCCTTATATTAGGTTATTATTTTACTGCTCATGAGTCTCATTGAATTTCTCAATATGTTTATATCGGGATTATGTTTCATGCATGAACTTTGTCTTAGATGCTCCTAAAGCTTTTTGAGCAATCTAAGTTGCCGAGCAATTGTTGCTTGGGCACTTTCCCATTGAAAATGGGCAATACATTTATATCTGGATCATTTATATCGGTCATGGGCCCTGTGTCTCATCTGGGTGCCGGTTGACGGCACCATTGCCCATCAACATTGCCCAAAAAGTTGCCCTGTGTATCATCACCTTAAAGGGATAGTTCACCCAAAAATGTAAACTCTGTCAGTAATTACTCTCCCTCATGTTGTTCAACCCCCGTAAGACTTTCGTTCATCTTCGAGACACAAATGAAGATATTTGTGATTAAATCTGAGAGCTGGATCACTCCTCCATAGGCTTCTTAAGGGATCGAAACTGACCGGACCCCAAAAGTTATTAAAGACATCGTTAAAATAGTCCGAGTGACTACAGCGGCTCAACCTTAAGTTTATCAAGCGACGAGAATACTTTCTGTGCGCAAAAAACAAACAAAAATAACGCCTTTATTCAACTAATCATTTCCTTCTCTGTGGGCCGTGAGATTTCACGTAGTGATATTGCGCAAAGCTTCTGGGTTGCACGTCACACGCAGGCTCACTATTGGCCGACGCTGGTCATGTGTGTGTGTGATGCGTGTGACGTACAACCTAGAAGCTTTGCGTAGTTTCATTACGTAAAATCTCGAGCCCACAGAGAAGGAAATGATTCGTTGAATAAAGTTTTTGTTTGTTTTTTGCGCACAGAAAGTATTCTCGTTGCTTGATAATCTTAAGGTTGAGCCACTGTAGTCACTCGGACTATTTTAACGATGTCTTTAATTACTTTTCTGGCCGGCCAGTTTCAATCCCTTAGAAGCCTATGGAGGAGTGATCCAGCTCTTAGATTTAATCACAAATATCTTAATTTGTGTTCTGAAGATGAACGAAAGTCTTACGGGGTTGAACAACATGAGGGAGAGTCATTACTGACAGAGTTTTCATTTTTGGGTGAACTATCCCTTTAAGAGTATAGAGTATAGCATGAACGTGGAGCATTTTATAGTTCTATCATTTAATGAGAAATGTTCGAGTTCATATCGAGATCTCTGACCTTTGGCATCTTGGCAAACCTGAGCACAGTTTGAGACTCGTCTGAAAGTAAAGCCAATCCGTCAGATGTTTCTCGAGTGTTTTCTATTTGCACGCAGTTGTGATTTCGACTGGTGATTTTTCTTTCCTTCGGGAGACGCTGTTAAGCGAGCGTGTTCCTCTACAAACGCGTGCGTCTGATGGAGAGATGTTGTCTGTTTCTCTCCATTCGTCTTATTTCAGCCCCTCACAAACATCCGACTCCCCTTAATGTCATCGAGCGAGTGTGTTCGGGAACCTATTTCCACAGTCCTCAGCGATGCCCAAAGGTCAGATGGGATATTTTTAAAGTGCCCTCGGTGAAAATCAATGCCCCCAAAAAAAGAGACAGCAAACAGGAACAGGGCCGCCCACCCTAATAAGCAGCGCCTCGCCGCAGATAAAACGAATCTGCAGAGAAAGTGGAGAGATTGTGAGGGGACACATTGACAAATAG